AAGTTCTTGTCTCTTGCACTGATTTCTTCTTTTAACATTGTGAAGCTCTACTTAGAACCTTCTCAAGATCAAATAGTGCAAAATGCATATTCTTGCACTTTTTTGACTGGTCTTAAGATTTTGATCAGGAGTGTACATCCCCAATATAATTATTGCTGTTATGGCAGATAACCAATATTTACCGATATTACACTAACACAAATTCTATTGTACATATTCGCACAAACACACTTGAGCTTTTTTTGATACAGCAAATAAAAAACCAGACCTCTGACATGGCTCTCTGCTTCAGTTATTCCTGGCTACGCAGCATTAATAACACTATCCTGATCAAACAGATGCCGCTCAACCAACCATCTCCCCTCCCAAAACAGAAACACAAAGATAAAAAGTGGGAAATCAATATCGGACATTAATATCGGCCCAGTTTTACATATCGGACCGATATGATAATGACCTATGTCAGCTGATACTGATATTAATGTCAATATATTGTGCATCCCCCGTGTCAGGAAAACTGTCAATTAATATTTGCCACTTTCTAATTACTTTTAAGTAGTGGCATGTGATAACATATTCATGTCTGCATTGTGCAACATATTCTCACTGTCAAGCGTGCATGTGTGCCTGTGGCATATTGTGTTACTAAAGATCTGCCACTTGACTTTGTGGAAATGGTGGGTTTCAATCCACAGCTATTTAATCTGTTAAAATGAAGACATTAGTCTGACTGATTTATGAGGAAAATATTGGAACTTAATGTAACTGATTTAGTCTAAAACATGATGTTATTTATTAATCGTCATATTAATCCTTATAGGCTAAATGGCACAATTAATTATGATTATTTGTTTGCTGATATCATCTAACCCTAGGTCCTAAACAAGCAGGATGGAGTAGATAGATTTGTGACCAAAGGGTGCCAGCAAAAATCAAAGGAAAGGTTTACAAGAGAGTAGTACCAGCTATGTTGTATGGTTTCAATACAAGATTGGTACTGACAAAAAGACAGGAGACAGAACTTAAAGTGTCAGAGCTGAAGATGTTGAAGTTTTCTTTGGGGAGTGACGAGGATGGATTAGGAATGAGATCATCAAAAGGACATCATCGGTTGAACGACTGGGAGTTAAAGTAAGAGGGGTCAGACGGAGATGATTTGGAATCATGGCATCAAAAAACAGTTGAGAAAAGAAAATTAGGCTTTGATGGGCATTAACCTCCTGAACCTGGCAGTGCTCTTTCTTTTAGCCTCCTGAAATCAGAGAATGACCCAGTCATTATACATCCCTCGTAGCCAACATATCTAACTCTGGTTTGTTAATGCTGCAGCACTGCAAAACTGTCTGATGTGAGGACGCACGTCCAGGCTCTACTGAGTCGCCACAGCATGGTTTTTGGAAACTTCAGATGGACAGAGTTCGATGAAGAGTTCTTGCAGAGACACGTGGAGTCTGTGGCCATAGTTGATCTTGAGGAAATGATCGCACAGGTTCATTGTTTTTGCTTTGCTTTGAGTCTAATTTTAATAGAAAACGTTCTTTAAAAGTTAATAATTCCACGCAGCTGGTTGTATATTTATCTCCTGCTTCTTATCCAGCCTTTGGATTTGAAGAGCTGCCTTGTCTTCGTTCACGTCTTCACTCTGAACGAGGAAGGACCCAGCATGCTCACTTTAGAGGAGGACGAGGAGCTTTCAGCAGCAAATCATTGGCTCCTGCCAACAGGTGACTCTAATGTTCACATTTAAGGTGTATTATGTGTAAAAAATAAAATAAAAGTAGTTTTTAAAAAAAAATACTCCATGTAGTAGTTAGAGAGGGGTCACTGAACAAATTGTTGATCTATGAGAGCTGCAGTCAGCTTACAAATAAAATAACAAATGTTTATGGCTTCAGTGTTTGTATGCTCAGTACTTTGTAGTTTGTTGTATTTTATTTGACCAAATTATTGACTGTGTGGGATGAAGTAAAGCTCAGAGCAAGCAGTGTTCCTGTGGATCCTTAAAAAGTCTTAAAAGGCATTGATTTATCAATCCAAAAATAAGGCCTTTATTAGCCTTAAAATTTCTTAAATCAATCTTTTATGGGTCTTAAAAATGATAACACGTTGTACGTAGGATGACTAATTCATCTCAAATATTACAATAAATGGTAACATTTATTTGTTTTTAAATAACTGACAGAATGCCTCGTACAGCTGGTTTTGTTTTAAAATAAATATTTGGCTGAAATTGTTGCTAACTGGGTTTTTTCCGTTTGTGTTTATTGTGATGTCGGTCTTAAATTTCGTGTCAAGTGGCATTAATTAGGTCTTACGAAGTCTTAAATTTTACTTGCCTTAAGCTGTAGAAACCCTGGCAAGACTCATCAGGACTAAACTTCATTTTAAAATGCCTTAAATTCTTCTCTTCATAAACAGCTGAGTTTCATGGGATCTGGGAGAGTCTTGTGTACGAAAMTGGAGTCAAAACCAGGGTAAAGTAACGACCAGCTGCCGAGAACCTAAAAATCACAAAACTTCATCTTTGTTGCTTAATTTGTCAAAGTTGATATTCTCCTTTAGCTCCTGGATTACGTTACAACAACGATTTACTTCTCAGACAAAAATGTCGACAGCAACCTGATTTCGTGGAACCGCGTCGTGCTGCTTCACGGTAAATTCAATAAACCTTCAGTCAGTTGCGAGATGATGAGTTTAAATGAAGTGATTCATGTCTCYGCTCTGGTTTAGGACCTCCGGGCACGGGGAAAACATCACTGTGCAAAGCTCTCGCCCAGAAACTGTCAATCAGGATGTCAAGTCGGTGAGACGAGGTTTATTTCAGAGGAGTTGCTTCAGCTCAAACTCCACCTGCTCTTTTGTTTTGACAGTGCATTCCTTACCCCCGCAGGTATTCTTTTGCACAGTTTGTGGAGATAAACAGTCATAGTTTGTTTTCAAAGTGGTTTTCAGAGGTAAGCTTTGTTCCTTTGTACATAWATAAAAAAAGAAAATTGCCTAGAGGACAATTTAGAATCTGTTCTCTATTTTCCCTTTTTGAACTTGTCTCTTTGTTACAGAGTGGGAAGCTGGTCACAAAGATGTTTCAAAAGATCCAGCAGCTGATTGATGATAAAGGCGCTCTTGTGTTTGTTCTGATTGACGAGGTGAGATTTAATAAAAACCCTGAAGTGCTCAAAATCTCAGGTCGGTTTATGTTCCCACCCTCACCTATGGTCAGGACCTCTGGATACTAACAGAAAGAACAGTTCATGCATACAGGCTGTCAGTGAGTTTTCTCTGCAGTGTACTACAGTGATTTTCACAAGATACTAGGGAACATGATRCCAAAAAACATAGGTACTAGCTAGGGGTGCAACGATACAGAAAATTCACAATTCGGTTCGGTTCGATACTTTAGTCTCACGGTTCAATATTTTTTTCGATACAAAAAAAGAGAAATGTCCATGCCCCTTTTTAACTTGTAATTTATTTAAATTAATTATAAACATTTGTTTAACCTCAAAA